CACTTTTGTATAAACTCCGGGGCTGTTAGGTTGAGCGCATCCACTGCCAAATGAAGTGATCCCCTGCAGAATCCAGGCGCCATTGGCTATCTGGCAATTAAGTGGCCCACCACTATCACCCTGAAAATGTAATATTAATTCAATATTAGTATTATGTTTATAACATATTATGAATGGGTTGTGAGTAAACGGTGTGGATTACCTGACAGGTGTCTTTACCGCCCTGAAGTACTCCCGCACAGACCTGTTTCTGCGGATTGAAGGCCGATCTCCAGCGCCACTGACAGATGTTGTTGTCCACAATCGGTAGACCAACCTCTTGTAAAGTGTTGGCAGACCTTCCACCAGCCGAAGTACTGCCCCACCCGGTGGCCACACAACTGTTGCCGTTAGGTTGCAGACCATTAGTCGGCAAACAAATGGGTTGTAGGAAATTGTGCGCTCCTTTGAGATCAAGTTTTTGATTCAGTTTTAATAACGCGATATCATTTGAGTTTTCGCTGTATGAGTCCAGATACACCTTTCAATCAACAATTTAAATAATAATTATAAGATAATTGCTAAGAATTATTCAAATAGGGACTCACTTGTGATACATGGCGGGTGACTTCAGTTGATTCCCGCACTTGTGTGTTGTATTCGCCCAAAACCACTTCAATGTCCGTTAGTTGTGCCCCGGGTTTGACGGACACACAATGAGCGGCCGTTAGGACCCATTCGTCGCTGATTAGACTTCCACCACATCTGACCAGTTGTGTAGAGTAGGGCATACGCTGTCTGATAGTGAGTAACGCCATCCATGGCCACTGCAGGGGTCGGGATGTCGTGCCCCCTACTACTCGTGTCGAGTCACTGGCCCGACCACATCGTTGACTCTCAACCCCTTCATATAAACTTAATACTAATAATTGAAATAATATTAGTTTTCTAATTGAGAAATATGAGGGCATTTCTAGTGTTTTTTGCAATTAAACTAAATCACTATTAAATGATTTCTGCAAAATCCTAATTATTATATACTCTATAAGTCTAAATACACTAAAAATTGTCTCATTAATAATTAGTATTATTTAGTTTCTGTCATTGTCTTAAAGTTAATTAATTACGAGATATACGTAAAATATATACATGTGTTAAGTTTATAGCAATTGAGTGTAAATTGATTAATAAGACCATAATTACATCAGATGTATGTATCATAACTGAATTCTGAGAAAATAAAATTCCATAAAAATGTCAAAAATATTGCCAACCATTTAAAAAATATAAAAGTATCAAAATATTTGCTTGTTATAAATATCACTCCAATAAAAAATATGTAAAAACATCAAAACAAGTATTAATATTACACATTATTTGTTACGTCAAAATAGCAATTATGGCTATTTTTAAGATTAATTTTACTTTATACAAAACAAATTATTTAATTTCGCTTTAATTTTAATTTTGCTTTTTTATATTCATTTTCATATTGTTATTTAAAATAATATTTATATTTATTTTACTCTTTTATGCGCTCTTATATTAGCAGATATTTGTTATGAAAACTCGTAGTAAACTATTTTTGGTAATTGTTATGCAAATGTAAAACATAAGTTAAAGTTATATTAATCTTTGTGTGCAATATTGGGTCAGATCTCACTTGAATTATATTTGCGGTAATAATATAATAGCGATATTATGGAAATTTCTATTACAATCGGTTTTGTAATTCAATTGACAAATGAATTGCAAATAAGAAAAATTAGATACAATTAATTGAATACAAAATCCAGGCTTAATATGCTATGAGATAAGATTAGATTTAAACACACAGGGTAAATATTTAAATTAATTGCAATCCATTTGTGATTAATTAAGTTTTCATTTCATATTTAAATATTAATATTCTAATATTACACTAATGTTTTATGAATGATTATATAAAATCTATAATAAAATAGTTTATATAAACAAATCATAAATCAAACGTTAGATAGATAAGATCTTTTTATCTCATTTCACACACAACTTATACTAATGTAAACTGATTATAAATTCACCTTCTTATTAGATAAAACAAAAAATTTATAATTAAAAATTATGATAAAATATTTCAGATTTAATCGGTTTATTGTACATATGATATAAAAATAAACTTTTTTAAGCCGTAACAAAAGTTTCCATAACATCACATGAATACTAATTTTTACACATTTTATATAAAAATTGAATGATTTTTGTTAATATGGTATAATTTGAAATTTTCTCATTCATATGATTTTAATTACAAATTAGGAAAAATTACAAATTATAATGCGATTTATAATGTCTTCAAAATTAACGCTTAAGTAAACAATTAAAGTGAAGACAAGGAAGAGCTTTAATAGTTTGATAACATTTTTACTCATTTTTCTACACATTTATTAAATTATAAAATAATTTGTTTTGAAAGCAAATCAGGTTTTTGTTCCAAAAAAATATATTTTAAGAAAACATCTAAAAAGAGAAAATTTAGACACAGAGTCCACTAATGAGTTTTGGTTTTGTGTTTTGGGATTTAAAAATAAAAATATTTTATATAAAAATAATTTCATTTTCATAAACATTAAAGAAGAGCCGAGTATTAGATAAACAAATACTATATTTATATAATATATAAGTTTGGATAACGATTCTTGCCATTAGTTTTCTAACAAAAAAAAAGACATTTAGTTTAAGTAATTGTTTTGAATATAAAGATATTTCGCAAAACTTACGAAATATAAAACATTCAAACAAAAAAGGCTAAAAATGGATATAACGCACAAAATCTAGCATCTAAACTAGTACAGTTTATTGTTAAGACTAATATTTTAAATTTAAACCTAATGTCTATAAATACAAACAATTAGATTCTTATCATTGAATCATAAATTTGTAATTTTTATTTTGTTTAAATCCTAATTAAACATATGTTTAATCTAAGCATTTATTTAAACTAAAAAGTGTTTACTAATATAGGAAATTGAAAAATAATAAAATGATTGAACATTACTATAGCTTTTAATTGTTTGCTAAATATTTAAACGTTTATTAATATTTCAATTTTGAAGACTGTTTTCAGATCTCAAGAAAAAAGTAATAATTAATTGATGTTTAAAATCATGTCACAAATGATAGGAAAAATCAATTTGTTTTCTTATTTTTATGATTAATTTAAAAATACGATTTGAAAAACAAATGAAGAAATAAAAATTGAATCTAAATTTAAATCAGTTTGTAATATAACATCAATAAAAAAAGTGCACACATTTATAGGGATCACGAATTTTTTGATGACATGAGAAAATAATTTTTGTTTGAATTTTGAAAGGGGAGGGAAAGCCATCCACTTCTCTATCTCTATTAGTGTATTACGAATAGAGGTTTTGCATAAAAAAGATTATTTGTATTATTATTAAACGTAAGGATGAGCTAAATATACGAATTTAGAAAAAAGTGGGAGTAAAACAAAAATATAAATCCTTTATAACATGCTTTACAATAATAAATATTAAAAATAATAATTCTATTATTTTTCCCTTTCTTTAACACAATTAACTTTCTTAAGAATGTTATCAATGATTATCTACAGTAAGAGTGGACTCAATTGTCTGCGAAAAACAATTATATTTCTATAATTACGTGGAAATGAATGCTAATAATAGTCGAGTTAACTGTTTGTTGGAGTGGATATCAAATAGACGGCTAATCATTGTCTTATAAGTTATGTTTGACAAAAGGTTTACAACAGGAATAACACTCAAATTATTAAATTACGGATCATTTTAATCCAGATAAATGTGTGCCTAAACAAGACTGCAAGTGATTTCATACACACATTACTAACAAAAGACTTTCATTCTGCATATTAATTGTAAATTATATTTTAAATTTACGACTTGTATATCATGTTATTAAATGCTTTTATATCACAGAAATAGAAAGTATCAATAAAACGATGCCTTAAAACACCATATATTATACGAAAGACTATAATTATTTCATGAATATATTGATAATTTACAAAATTATTTATTAAAATATACCACAACTGGGAGATATGATAATACTTGTACATTTTAATGAAAAAATGTAAAATAAAAATTTCAATTTAATCTCTCCCTCACTATATAAAAGATTACGAAAAAATACGATTAATTTCACTAAAATCGTGAAAACCATTACTTCCTTATGTGTAATAGTATTCTAAGTTTTTTTTGCTTTACTCATAAAAAAGTAAAATAAGATTTTTTCTCAAACTTAAAATTTGGTACAAAAATAACTACACATTAAATGCGAAATAATAATAATATAATTCTCCGCAAACCATACCACTAATGAATTCAGAGAAAAAATAATGATTAATCGCTTATAAGAAAAAGTGATTTCCATTTGAAAAAATGCAAACATAGGTTTAGCTTTATTTTAGATAATGAACCAAAAGTGAATTGTAGAAATCTATACACAAATAGAGTTATAAAGAAAATGATTATTTTTTGTGTTTTACTGAATGATGAAAATAAATACATTAAAAGTGAAAATTTATTTTTTTTCAATTTTTACAGAATTTTCTTTTGAGAATTGGCTGAACTTTATTGCTATTTAAGTGTTTATTATAAAACATAAATATTAATACATTTAAAGTTAATCATAACACAATTGAAATGTCTGAATGAAAATAGTGAAATGCATTTATTCTCATAATAGTGTTAATCGAAAAAATAAGAAATAGTTTTAATTTTTGTAATAGCCATATAACTGTATATTTTTATAGTTGTGTATACTGAAATTAAATTATACTAATTCCGCATAACTGTGCGGACTATTAGTGGAAACAGTTATACACGTATTATAAAAACAAGTCTAAACTTTAACACACAATAGAGGGGCAGGTCTTCTCAATTTATTTGCTAATAATAATAACCATTATTTTACCACTCATTCCACTCTTGATCTAATTTGAATAAGTGTTTCACTACAGCATACCTGTGCAGTCAGTCTATGCAGTCTATGGGCTTATAGTGAAGCGCCAATATGAGAGCCGCTTATCTTATGGTACTGTATATACAGTTCATGACCTGTTAATGCAATCTTTTATATAACTTTACGCTCATATAGAGTGTACTCTTTTCTCGCAACACTTTCTTACGGAATATAATTATAATAGAGATGACTCTCTCTCTCTCTCTCTCCCTCTCTCTCTCTCTCTCTCTCTCGCACGGAGATAAGTAAGTGAGAGGAAAGGCATTGCACTCATTTTTAGCTCATTTCTGAATATTTTGTGACTGGAATTACTTGTTATACTGTTTGGGGTATGGGAGCCATAAAAAGAAAGTACAGCAAAACTCATACACAATGCATACACGGAATGAATATATTTCGGGGGGAGAACTACACACACACTGAGAGATAGCGGAGAATATGTGTGTATTTGTGCTAAATATGGAAATTTAATTTTAAAGAATCATTTTTTAATGATAGGTATAAAAGTAAGACAAATAATGTGCAGTCGATTCAAATGACTCGAACCGACGATGAGGTAAACATCTGAAAGTTATCCTCCGATTGAAACACTTTTGCTTTTAGTATTCAATTATTTGTTTATTGAGTAAAAAGTTTTAAGAGTTTAAGAAAGTCAATAGAAATGAATATTTTTGGGACTCGTGGTTCGGCGTCTCTACTATTAGTAGTACTAGTGATCAGTCTGACCGTCGATGACAGTGTCGGCGGCAAAGAAATAATGCAATTAATAAAAAAGTTGAAGAAATTGGCGCCACTTTTAGCGTTGGCTAAAATGAAACTCAAGCCAAAGTTTGGAATACTTCCCATTCCTATACCAATACCCATTCCACTCAAGTAAGTCATTGTGTTATATTGTCCATCAATTTTCTCAAACTATACTTTCATTTTTCAAATCATATAATCAATTCTTGACTCTAATATTTTATTCTATAAGAAGATTTTAGGAATTTTTA